AATCCAAATTTTCATTGTCTTTGATCACCACCATTTATAACAAAATTTCAAAGAAACAAATACAAAAACTTGTAAATATTACAAATATTTTTTGAATGATACAAAACATTGAGATTACATAATTAAGCTTATCAATCAAAAATCTAAATTTGAAACAAAGTTCGAATAATAAAGAATTTCCATATATGTTTTATCAATAGAAATATTGTATAATACAAAATTTTTAATTTTATTTTAGTAAATAATCTGCAAAAAATTCTTAAATTCTTAATTCACTTTTAATAATATTTGATATTTAAATTAATAATTACTTGATCATAAATTCAACAAAATGACTCATATTGAGTATCCAAAAACATGGATGATTTTGATATTGAATGGAACAGTCCTCTTTGCCAAATTTGTTGGGTAAATAGATGTGATGTTATCAAATATCCCGAATACGAAAAATATTGTAAAAAATGCATACATCATGTAGAATTTATCATTGGAACTGAACAAAAAAAAATATCAACAAATATTGATATTCTATTAAAAAAATTCCCAAATTCTTTCTTCTCCCATATGATCAAAGATGTATTTCAAAATGAACGTGTATTTGAAATACCAAGAAATTTTTATTATCTCAAAAAATCGAACAAGTTCTTCAAGGTCAAGAAATTGTATCAAAAAATACCAACATGACTCTTAACAATGAATTATGGTTCTTCACTGGAGAAGAATATATTATTCCTTTCGAATTTGAAGATTTTTGTGATTGTGGAACTCTTAAACAAAAAAAATATCGTAATTGTAAAACATGTCAAGAAAATTTAGTAAAAGAACGGGTGCCTTGGTGTTTTGAATGTAACAAAAATAAAGTTAGTTAGAATTGGAAAACAAAGAAATATTTTAATAATTGTCAGACTTGTGGGAATAGAAAATTATATAATTTATGTAAAAGAAATAAACCAGAATGGAATCATAAGAAAAAAATATATTACAAAATATGTAAATTATGTTTTAATTACAAAAAACAAAAAGAAAAGCCCATTCTTGAGATAAAAATCATGTGTTCAAAATGTTCCAATCATTTTGAATATGATATATGTCATATTGCAAATCACTATCTTTTTTAATTATATCTTCAAAATTCTTAAAATCTTTTTTTTTTTTTTTATTATTATTTGTATAACAAATAAATTAATCTTTTAATAAATATTACACAAATAAATAATGATAATCCAAATTTAATCAAATATTCTTTAATTAAAATAAACCAAATATATAAATTTTTATAAAAAATCATAAATCATGGCAAAATTCTAAATTTCAAAAAAAAAAAGAATACCGATTCATATACTATTTGCTGCGAAAAATTAAAACCCAATGATATTTTTTTTCTTCTTTGTTCCACCCACCCCATCCATTTCATCGTCAGTGTGTGCTTAGTTTAATTAATAATCGAGATACTTAATTTATCAATTGTCCAAATTGTTGATATGAGATATCAAAAGATGAAATCGAAAATATAGTTTAACAAATTAAACTACAAAATGAACTTCGAATAAGAAGAAAAAATAATATTACAAATGAATTAGATAGTTTAAAACAAGAAGATTTTGATAAAAAATGAGAAGGTGAAATTAGAACACTTCAAACTAATATAAAACGAAAAAGAACTAGATTAATGAATGATTATAAAAAAAATTTAGCAAAATTGAATGATGATGAAAAAAAACAAATTGAAATAATAAATAAAAAATATATTCAAGAAAAATTGAATATAAATGAAAAAATCAAGAAAAAAGAACACGAATTAAAATCAGAAGATAATTTTAAAGATGTGATCAAAGGAGAAATTACCGCAAACAAAAGACAAAGAAAAAATACTGAAGATATTGTAATAATCGATGAAGAAATTAGAAATAACGTGAATACTTTTTTAGTGATATCTCAAGAAAGATTTGAACAAATAGATAGAAATCGAAATTAATTATAATTTTTTTGTATTGGAGATACTTATCACATGATGACCAAATATAATGTTATATTTATTTTATTAAATAAATAAAAATTTGTATTTATTATTAATTCTTTACGAATATTTAAAATATATAAAATGTATTGTGCTTATTAAAAAAAAATCAAAAAATGAATATTGAATACATTATCCAATATCTTCAAAATAATAATTGTAAACCGTATAAAATTCATATCGAAAAAAATGATCATATTAATAACCAACCTTTTGTTAAAGGAATAATCGAAAACGAATTTGATTTCCAAATATTTATAATCAATTCTTATATTAAAAACTTGAAAGAAACTCAATACCAAATCATGAAAAATTTTACAAAAAAAGCAAACTTAAAAAATATTTTTATCAATTACAATCATCTATACGCAATTGTTTTACATGATAAGACTTTACCTTTTTTAGAATATAATTCAGATCTTGCAGGATGTTTAGAATTAAAATGTGTTACATTAAATAATTTATTAAATAATTTATACGAAGATTATAAATTTTTTACTAAAATGTGATACAATATAAATAAATTTAGTTTA